AAACACAATCCACATACCTGCGCAGGTGATTCAGAACGGTCATGTTTGCATACATATAGTAGAGGTAGTAGGAGTAGGGCGGATTGTCCTCATCCGTCCAGCTGGCCGGCAGCGGGCTGTCGAGGTTGAAGATATGCTGCTCTGGCTTGGACTCATCATCCACACTGTCAAAACCAACAACCTGCAAGAGGGACCGATACAATTGAAACTTTCAGGGTGTGCATTAGATGCAATGATTTGACGTGAACATTATACAGTACATGCTGAAGGAAGAGGTGCAGCTCCGGATGTTTGCCTGGGTGGATTGTGACTTCAAAAAGAGGCAGGAAAATGTTCTCCAGCATCTCCTGGAAGTTGGACAGCTGCTTCTTGCTGTGGTAGACATCACTTGGAAGAAAATAAAAGCCATGTGTTATTTATGTTTGCTGGAGATTTGAGGAAAAGATCTGTGTGTGCTTCACTTACAAAAGTCTGGGCATTTGTACAAGCCAGCGCACATTGTCCGAGTAGACTTGATGTTTGACGGCCCACTTGGCAAGCTTGTTCCACTCGTCTCTGGAGCGTCCGTACACGGACAACCTCAGCTCCACGTTCTGGTACTTGCTCTCCTCCAGGTCGGCCATCACTTCCTGAGTGACGGTGGCACAACATATAATCGCCAGGAATTTTGTATCTGTCTCTTGAGTGCAATCTTGGTAGTTAATTGTCGATCATGAACTTCTACCTATACAGCTTGTGCTTTGAATATCAAAATACATGCAAAATTTCGACTTCTATTTTCCATTTTAACAGTAGGCCTAGTTTCATTTGTATTTATTATTTATCAATTAATATTGTGCTCCGCAACGCACTGTCGACATCCAGCTATGTGTATTTATACCAGTAATAATATTTTTTTTTTTTAAAAAAAGGACAAATGTGTTCTTGAAGGCTATTTTTGAAAAATAAATGTGTTTTTTGTAACTTTCATAAAAGTCTACAAGGACTTATGAAAGTAGCAAAATGGGGAGGTCAGGATGAGAGCAGCTGAGAATGATAGCATGACTTTGTACCAATGGTTACCTTTGAAGGCGCATTGTTTCGAAGTCTCTTGTGAGTGAACGCACCTTAATAATGTGACCAAAGTATTTCCCTTCGACGTGATTGTCCGTTTTGATGAAGATCTCTCTCAAGATGGATTCGCCAATGGGATTGTATTTGGCATTGAACTTGTCAAACCGATGGAAAGTGTTGCGGTCCTGCAAGTGGAGGAAAAAAAAATGAAACAAGAGTCCATCCATCCCTCCGTCCCCACATAACACAACATTCTGATCACCTCCTAACTTACCGCATGCATGTCCAAAGTGTCCACACTGAGGTCAAAAGCCGTCAGGTTCATACTCTCGAATACTTCCATGAGTGTCTGACCTTTCCCTCTCTCCACATGCACGATCTCCCGAGGATACTTCTTCATGGCTCTTTTGATAAAGCGCAAAAGGTGCTTTTGGTTCATGCAGGAGGAGGCGTGGATATGGGTGTCAACCTACGCCACGCGCACAAACAGGAAGCTGATTCACACAATGGACAGAAAATCAGCATTTGGCAACATTAGATCCTCTCATTACCTTCCGGATGTTGTAGAAGTCTCGATGCGGGACTTTTTTCTGCGCTGCCAATTCTTTCATTTCATTCAAGAGGATGTGCATCTGGAACTTGGAACTTAGATATTGCAGGCGACGGTAGCAGAAGGACTTCCTGCGTGAAATATTGGAAGAACTTCTGATCCTTATGATGTCCCACCAGGGGGAGTCAAGTGATTTTCCTTTATTATCATAGGATTGTCTTTAAATAGTATTAAAATCTCAACATAGACCAAAAATTGCCTTTTTCTCGTTAATTTTAATTAAAATATGCATTTTTTTCTTATCAATCAATTATTAGTCAAGGATAGTTTCCAGTTTTGGGAGAATCTGATTGCTTTGTTGACTAATTTTTGTGGTCCATAATCCATCCATCCATCCATTTTCCGATCCACTTTATCCTCACAAGTGTCGCAGGGGGTGCTGGAGCCTATCTCAGCTGTCTTCGGGCAGTAGGCGGGGGACACCCTGAACCGGTCGCCAGCCAATCGCAGGGCACACAGAGACGAACAACCAACCCTGCTCACACTCACACCTAAGGACAATTTCAAGTGTTCCATTAACCTGCCATGCATGTTTTTGGAATGTGGGAGGAAACTGGAGTACCCAAAGAAAACCCATGCAGGCCTGGGGACAATATACAAACTTCACACAGGGAGACCGGAGCCAGGATTGAACCCAGAACCTCTGCACTGTGAGGTCCACCTGCTAACCACTGGACCACGAGGCCGCCCTGGCCCATCATCAGAATACATATTTAATTGTTATCTGCTGTCATCCATTTCTAATTTATTTGTATATGACTCAAACCGGGTCCGGTGATTGACTGGCAACCAATCAAAGGAGCGGTCTTGCCTCTCGCCTGAAGTCAACTAGGACAGGCTGCAGTTTCCCGCAACCCAGAAAAGGAAATGCAGTATACAATGTCGATTGATGCATAGTTCAGACAGAGGACCAGTATGGTATACAACATGTCATTGTGAATTAACAGTAATGTACAATTGAAGAAAAGGGACCCCAAAAAAAAACAAAAAAATGTAATGTGTTGAAGAAAGGAAGATAAAAGTACACTGGTCCATTGATGATGAGGGCCATCATGACGTTCATGTCAGCGATGTACTCCTGCAGGTCCGGATATGGCAGCTCCAGCTCTGTGCTCCTGCAAGCAAAATGCAGGCATAAGAGCGGAATCGCAAAAAAAAAAAAAAAAACAAAAAAAAAAAACAAAACAAAACAAAAAAAAAACAACACAACAACAACAAATTTTTTTAAAAAATTTTTGTAAACTTTCTAAAAGAGAATTATGGGACGTGACTGACGAGTTACAACTGGACATACTCTATTCATTCATAACACACCATACGAAGGTTTATTATCATTTCAAAATTGGTTTTGCACAAGTTTTGGGCTCACGCGTCACCCTCGTGGACCAGAGAACTACACCCAAAACTCACTTGTCCATCGTCTCTGTTGATGTGTACACGTGCATGACGCCATCCACCATCTTGCAGCCATAGCGCATGTCAGGGGGCATGCAGGTCGGGTCCTTGTTTTTATAGGGGTGCGTTCCCGAAACAGGTGGGTGCACCGTGGCATCTGAAGGAGGACAAAATGTCACAGCAAGTGGCAGGTTTTGAGGGAGGTGGAAAACAAACACGCGACTCATCTCTCAGCGTAAGGAGGGCCTGCACGCTGGGTGGCCTGCTCAGAGGCGTGAAACAGATGGATGGTGGTTTCGTGTTTAATGTGGGAGTAATGTGCAGGATGATAGTAAAGTGCCGCTTTTATGTGCTCTGTGAAGATCTGGAGACATATCAGGAATATGGCTGTGACGATGAGCAATGAATAGGAAAAAAAAAATTACCCCTGCTATGTTATTATTAGCACTGGCTTGTCAACCTCGATTTTTTTTTTTTTTTTTGCCAGTATGAAGTAATAGTTGTGATATACTACTTAAATAGCATTTTTTAAAATGAGAACCTCGGAAAAAAAAAAAAAAAAAAACAAAACAAAACAAAAAAAACAACACAACAACAACAAATTTTTTTTAAAAAAAAAAATTTTTGTTTTCTAAAAGAGAATTATGGGACGTGACTGACGATTTACAACTGGACATACTCTATTCATTCATAACACACCATACGAAGGTTTATTATCATTTCAAAATTGGTTTTGCACAAGTTTTGGGCTCACGCGTCACCCTCGTGGACCAGAGAACTACACCCAAAACTCACTTGTCCATCGTCTCTGTTGATGTGTACACGTGCATGACGCCATCCACCATCTTGCAGCCATAGCGCATGTCAGGGGGCATGCAGGTCGGGTCCTTGTTTTTATAGGGGTGCGTTCCCGAAACAGGTGGGTGCACCGTGGCATCTGAAGGAGGACAAAATGTCACAGCAAGTGGCAGGTTTTGAGGGAGGTGGAAAACAAACACGCGACTCATCTCTCAGCGTAAGGAGGGCCTGCACGCTGGGTGGCCTGCTCAGAGGCGTGAAACAGATGGATGGTGGTTTCGTGTTTAATGTGGGAGTAATGTGCAGGATGATAGTAAAGTGCCGCTTTTATGTGCTCTGTGAAGATCTGGAGACATATCAGGAATATGGCTGTGACGATGAGCAATGAATAGGAAAAAAAAAATTACCCCTGCTATGTTATTATTAGCACTGGCTTGTCAACCTCGATTTTTTTTTTTTTTTTTGCCAGTATGAAGTAATAGTTGTGATATACTACTTAAATAGCATTTTTTAAAATGAGAACCTCGGTCATGTGATCAATCTATTCCAAAATGTCATCCTTAAACCGAATCGTATGAAAACAATTAATATTTCTCAACGGGAATAATGTAAATCAAATGAATCGGTTTCTTACGCCTCCAAAAATATGCACAAAATAGACTTTATAGAGAATAACTGTAGTTTCACCTACAGAAAATGAATGATAATGAATAGCCAAAAAAACAAGCACACCTGATAGATGCCACACACAGAACGAATGACGTTTACGCTGTGTGACAGAAAGCACAACTGAGCATATACAATAGATGCCAAGACTTCCCCAACAGAAGCACAGAGGTTCCACCTTAATTGCTCCATTTTTTTCGACTTGACTCGAGCGCCGGTATATCTGAAGCTCGCGCAAAGCTCACATTGTGGCTTACAACACAAAGAGAAAAAAACCCCAACTCGGCAACGGCTCATAACTCCAAAAACTTTTGGGTCAAGGCGCAGTACTTCTCTATGTAATGAAAACGTACCGGCTGTGACAGTGGCCTCCGTCGCCTCTTGGAGTTCCTCCTCATAGATAGTCAAGTCGAGGGGTCTCTCGCTTAGCTCTTGCAAGTATCGGGCGGTGGTCCTGCAGAAGCTCTGCAGTGATAGGCCCATATACTTCTGTCTTATGAACAGGGCTTTCACCACACACTTTGCAGCATCCAACAAGTCCGTGAATGGAACCTGGATTGGGACGCAACGGAACAAGAGATGATGAGGAAGAAACGAAGCATAAAATAAGATGTGTTTAGGAAGACATTTTGGAAATGAATTGTTTGACGTACGCCGCATTTCTCCTCTCCAGAGATCGTGACTCGCTGGTACTCTCTTTCTGGGAGCAGCTCTCTCTCCAGCAGGTCTGGCGCTTGGTTCTGCTGCTTCATGTATCTGACAGAAAATATCCATTTTTTTTTCTGCTCAGGCAGATAGATTAGGTAATTGAGCGGATAATTGCCAGGCACTCACTCGAGATCTGTGGCACTGTCTGTTTTCATAAACTCCTGTTTGGCTCTCAGCAAGATGTCTGGTTCAAACCTGTGGACAGAGAGGCTGAGCTCACGCTGGTCACAGTATATACACACACACCAGACACTTCATTAGGTACACCAATAAGGATAATAATGCACACTTCTGACACTGCGAAACAGGGTTGTCAAACTCATTTTTGTCTCGGGCCACTTCAGAGTTACGTCTTCCCTCGGATGGCCATTGTATGACGGTTGCAACGACAAATACTTTTAATCGTCTCATTGCATTATTATTTGTGCACAACAAATTATCGGATTATTCGTTTTGAAATCACTCAACTTATAATAGTTTGTTCAATTATTGTTCAAGTGAGTGTATAACAAACAGGAAAACAAAATTATTGCAAAATCTCATTTCTTGTTTATTACACAAGACAATTTGACATTTCGGTGCACATTTTAGCAAGGATCATACAAGTTGACACCCATGATTTGCTTTCGAGGGCCACATCAAATGACGTGGCGGGCCGGATCTGGCCCCGGGGCCTTGAGTTTGACACCTATGCTGTAAGAGTTCTATTAGACAGGCTGTAGTTTGCCAAGCGGTTTCTTCAGTCTTTTGTATTTAAAAAAAAAAAAACCAAAAAAAACAATACAGTACTGTAGTGATAGTGCAGCACTCTCTGTCACTAGTTATAGTAAGCTAAGCTTTAACGTTGCTCTTTATTTGCTTTGATAAGAATGGACAAAAGGAACAAAAGACCAAAAAAAACCTTGTCTATATGAAAAGTCAAGAGGGAAAAATAGAAGCTTGAACTGTGAGGCAGGCAGTCAGTGTGTGGAGTGACTGGGTGTGAGCTGTGGTCCATAGCAGCTCTTGAATGAATGGGAAATTTGTTACCGCCGTGGTAATATTTTGGTCTAACTCTCGTCGATAATGGCACACTGTTTTGTTTGACACAGTGGTTGGGAATGTTGTAGAAAGATGTTTCAATTGCAAAAATGTTTTGCTGAAGCTATCTAATGTAGTCGGCCCTTTATTATGCAGGGGATGCAAAAGGGCCTGTTCATCATTGTATGCAGATTGAAGGTGCCTTGTTTTTTTTCTTCCCCCCACTCACTTGACATCCTGGCTGATTTGCCGCTCCAGGCGTTGGCGTCTCTCCTCAAGCTGTTCAATGGGGCTGTCCTCTGGGAATTCATAAGGAGCACTTCGCATCTCACTATCTGCCAGGCTGCGTGAGAACAGTTCCTTCACGGGCACACATGCACAGGTACAACTGTCATGCCGCATATACAACTTCATTCAAAAGTCGAAGGCACCGCAGAGAACCGACCTCAGCAATTTCCTTGTACTTGCCGTCCATGGACGTGCGCAGATCTATGGACTGTTTTAAAGCAACGGGGATCCCAGGCAAGGAATGCTGGGGAGTGAGGAGGTGGCGAGCACCGCGGAGGTCGACTATGGAAGAAGAAAGTAAATGTTCCATCTCAGTAAAATTGAATGTGTCTGTCCGTCCATCTACCTTACGTTCAATGATTGATCCCTTGATTCTGGAATGTGGTAAAATTATTTGGAAAGTCAGACCCAAGATGGTCTTTTGAATGACAAACTCCAAAGAGTTTTGGATGAAAGATGGCAGTTCAAGAAAGCCGACAAGGTTTGGACACAACTCTCAGTGTGATGCATGCAAACACTTCTTAAAAAGACTTCGTTTAAAAAAAAAAAAAAAAAAAAAAAAGCCAAGGCAGAAGGAGACTACAGACTCACAGCAAATTGTGTCGTGCGGCACCTTCTGCTGTCTCAACACAGCCAGCTCAACATGTAGGACAAGTTTGCCTCGGAAACCAAACTCGAATCATTTGCATCATCTTTGATATTTAACCGTCATTCTTACTACCTCAGTAAACCTTTGGCCAGGAGCCATTTGTGGTCTGCCATAAAGACCACTGCTATAAAGACCATGTGGGAGGAGTTTGGGGAGAAAATGTGGTTGCTATCATTCGACCCTTTAGTTTCCTTGATTTGCCCAAGGGCACCTTAGCAGTCGCCAGGAAGCAGAATCGCATCTCTCCAACAATTTACTTTCTATTACCTCCTGCGCTCACTTCAACGTACTTCATGGACACCAACATTTCACAAGATGGCGTCAAAACACAACTTTTATACATGCCAAAAAAATCAGCAACTAGGTGAGTTTTACCGCAAATCAAATGGTCGAGGTTGAAAAAAAAAAATGTAGTGCCATCCACTATAATGTAGATGACCACTGTGATGCCTCAACCCGAGCCACAAAGCCACAGATGTTCCTGTGCTCTCTAAAGCAATGGCACATCATCCGTGCCGCCCGTCACTTTAGGCCATATCAGTTCTCCCTGATAACACAGGACACTGTTGTCGAGGGCGGCATGTGACTAGCGGCAAAGACATCCAAGCCGGGCCGCGGTGAAGCCGAGCCGAACGGACCCGCAGCTAATCCCCTAATGGCTGCTATATTTGGATCTAACGCATCTATGGTTACATAATATCTCAGCCCCTCACAACCAGAGACTCATACAATATAAGTCATGATTTACTTTATGATACCGCAAAATGTATTCATCACTAGGGCTATTATTGATCTAAACGAGTCAGAAGAAAAGACAAAAACAATGGGGTGGGGAGGTGAATCAGACATCAAACAACCTTGAGGGATGGTAAGGTGCCTGAAAAGAATCAACATATTATTTTCCACTAATCTCCAGTGAGTCTGGAACTGAGGTCAAAAAGACGGCCGCTTCATGAATATTTCAACAAATGCAGTGGGCAGTCCAATACAAAGTATTACAGAGTGCACAATGTGCAGGTGCGTCTGGATAATTTAGGTTAAGTACAATGGATATCAGAAAAGTCTTCACACCCCTGTTGAAAGGTTTTTGTGATTTAAAAATATGACATCAAGAAAAATTCTTGAAATATCGGTAGAACGGCCGTTTGGGAATATCTCGTGAAATTCGCAATGGCCACCATGTCCCCGGGTGCACGCTATGAAAATTGCAGAATGTGGGTTGCATTCAAACTCATTTTAAATCAACACACACCTGCCACAGATTAAAGTGCCTCTGATTAACCCACAATCAATTTAAAATATTCTAGTCGGCTTTTCCTGACTTTTAAAAATTGACTTCTAGTTGTTGAAGCTTTTATGCTAAGACTCACGGGAGGCTGATGCAAAAAAAAACTGACACGTGTTGCTTGACAGAATTCATCAGCCTCATGCTGGACGACAAACACTCCAAAATGACACCAAAATAACAAATATCTGGACCCATCTGTTTCTACTTCGTCTACCTGGCATTTTTGCCACTGCTCTGTATTAAATATATAAAGTTGATTCGAACATGGGATTGTTGCTAATATTAAAAAAAATGTCACAAAATACACTGGAGTGGACTTGCACATATTGTCTGTGCAGCATCAAGATTTAGTCCACACGGGATTTGTATGACTCAAATGTGCAGACAAACGTCATCGGTCTTGTGTGAGAGCTGTCAAGCAAGCACGTACAACAAACGATGACAATCTGATGCTTACAGTATTTTAACCCTATCGTGCATCCTGTAACCCGTTAACATGACAAGCTGTCCACTGCAGTAACCACTGTCCCCGAAAGGATTAAGTGCCCTCGATGAACCAATGCATAAAAAAAGCCAACAAACACACACAAAAACTCCCCCAAAAAACCCTACAACCCATCAATGCGGTGTGATAATGAAGCAGAGAGAATTATTTTTTTCCTTTTGAAAAAGCATCTTGCAGTCTGAAGTCATGTGCTGTGCACATCGGCATTGCAGATTCTGGTGGAAAACTTCTCTTTAAATACATCCAAGTCATGTTTACAATTCATAAGTTCAACAACCATGTTGACCCTTCTGTAGCAGCAAGTTATTTTTTGGGGGGTTTAACTCATTCAATCCACACACATACTTCCCGGTGTGCTAAAAACGGCACCGCTGCCAAGGGACAGGCAAGGGGAGAGCATCATTGAGAGTGGAAAGAGGGGCAAGTATCAAGAGGAGATCAGGATTTGTGCTTTGGCAGGATAAGGCAATACAGTGGCGCAAACCTGCCTTTAAGAGCCCGTTGACCAGCACATAGACGGGGCCCAGAAAAAGGAGAAATGTGGGAGAGAAATAAAGGGAGAGATGGAGCATGCCTGCCAAATGGCCAAGGATGCCATCTTCTTTCCTTTTTTAAGATGACTTCAACACAACAGGGGGGTGTGGGGGGGGGAAGCAAGAGACACACTCGGGGGATAAAACACACATACATTCATGTACACAATCATCTGCATTCTTCTTTCTTGCTCTGTCCTTGTCATACATACAAAGAAGTGGTCCAGCAGATCCATGAACTCCCCCTCACATGCCCCCTTCCTGGTTCAGGCCAGCTGTCGCTGCACTAGCTGCCTTTGGAGCTGATCTTCCTCATTTAAACGCCTCTGACATCTCACTGGAATGTACCACGGGAGAGCTCAGAGGAGGGGGTGGTGGTGGTAGACTGCATGTATCACCGGTGGATGTGGTAAGTTCATAGTGCAGCCGAAAAGCATAATCAGCCCCGAGCTTCCACCTCAACATACCTCCCGACTCCTTTCCTCCCTGCGGTACTTTGTGCTAAAAGGCATCAGGCATTCCAGATGTTGGCGGGGTCTGTGTTTAGGAATCAGAAAGAGCGACATCATCATTTATTTACTTATTTGTTAATCATCTATCCGAGAGAATGAGGACTGTCCAAAAAACCGAATGTCGGTTTACTCTCATGAGGATGAAATTAAAGAGGCAGCACTTTGACCCCCATTATGATTTGAGGAGCAGACGCTCCCTTATGTGCATTTGGGATAAAGCATTCTACACAAACTTTTTTGTTTGAGGGCCTAATAGACAAAAATGGAATGATCGGCGTGCCATTTGAAAATTCATCAACTTTGTGAAATATGCTTGTCAGTCAAAACAGCAATTACATATTGATTGCATTGTCTAGTTCAATTCATCAGGGTTCCGTGAAAGGTGTAAAGGCAAATAGTTAGAGTTTTCCAAGTTTTTAGGGTGGCAAACAGCCCTCTATCTCACAGCATAAATCCAGCGCTGCACTTAAAAGCAGCCAAATCCCATCTCCACATTCAGAACTGAAAAAAAAAAGAAAAAAAAACAGGAGTAAAGTGATCATTTTTTGGTTACTTGAGGATCATTAATGTGATGTCTTCATAAATCATCCATAGAGCACAAAGTGGAAGAATCTATTTTTGCCTCTAAATTTGAAGTATCTTTATTCACTACAGTTTTTTGAAGGTAAATTGTGTTTTTTTTAATCATAAATTATTTATTTATCGTATTGATTTTCGAATATAGAGAAAGATTCGACAGTGCACCCTCCCTTCTCATTCTTTTATAACTAACCATCCAGCTCATGTCAAATGTCATTTTTAGTTGTTTTTTTTCCCATGTCGCGGGCCACTGAAAAATGAAAGATGGGCCGCAAATGGCCCCTCGGGCCGTTGTTTGGACACCACCCCCTTACAGTACTAACCTATCATTGTGAAACCCTGGAAATTACACATCGGTTGACAGTCATAGTCTGCCTGAATGCAAGGTAAATTTGCACTCGATAACCATGGCTGCAAAAATGTATCTAGGCCACAGCCGACAAAGTCTGGCACAGAGTCCATTTGGAGTCTGTAGCTTGTTTAAAAAAAAAAAAAAAATTCTATGAATACAATTAAACCCAACCCACGTCAGAACATCATGAAGGAGCAATAGGACCGCACATAATGTTAAAATGATGCTTTGGGGGTGGATGATTATTGAGAGATTATTGAGGTTTTTTGGTCATATATTTTTTATTTGTACTCAATTATTGCAATGTGTTGAGATTAAATCATTCCAAATTGATTGTGTGATTAATTAAAATAGTTTCACCACCACTCATTTTGTAAAATTCAAATTTACACCATTTTCAAGAACACTTTGGTGGCAACAACCTTTCTATGCCCATTCCATGTATTGTATTAAGAGGCCCCTTCAGCATGCGTCTGCTGTTTGTGCTGCCTTTCTTATCTTTTATTTCTCAATATGTCAACTCCACTTTTCATGAACTTCACTGTGAAAGTTTCCTAGCCCTAGCAAGACACTTTGTGCCATTCTAAGTAAGAACTGCTTATCATCATAATCATAATTGTTTATGAGTATCCTTCAGTAGAAAGTTGCAATGTGCTCCAACTACTGACTTATTAAAAAAATTGGAAACACGTCAGCCGCTCGAGTGATGAAAAGAAAAAGATTTAAGTGTCGACAAAAAACATGTTGCCTTTGAGAGGGGTGTTTGTCACAGTACCTTTCATTCACAGGGCTCTCCCTGGTGGTCAGATGCGGCACCTTCATGCTATGAAACTACGGTACTACAGTAGTACTACTTCTGCTGCTATTCATATTGCAATCTTACACTTGCCTAACTTTGATGCGGGTGGCTTAAGTTTAGTCCCCATCAATGACGGTGTGAATGGTTGTTTGTCTATTTGTGCCCTGCCATTGTCTGCAACCAGTCCATGGTGAGAGTTAGAAGTTAGATGGCTATTCTTTATAAAAACTAATCATGTCCTGAATACCAAACTATTATATTTAATTTATACATCAATATTATTTACATATATTACGTAACGGTGCTGAGATTTCGGGCAATACAGATAAAACAAATCCTTTTTTTCCCTTTTTTAAGTCACAGAAAAGAGCTGGAAGAATAATTAATTGCACTCTGAGGTAATAAAATTTGTGTTGGTGCGTGGAGGATTTTCTTTGTTGAATTCGGTTAGTCCAGTAAAAAAAGGTGTCGGCTTGATAAACTGCAGCTTCACCTTACATTTTCCTGTAAAATTCTGTTTTGACTGTTCTACTATGGCTGACACTGTTTCAGTCAATCAATCAATCAAATACAAACTATTCTTCTAGTGCATTCAGTACACTGTAAATAATTAAATGAGATTCTCACATCTACAAAGTCAAGTACTTGATGTGAGGTCATGACTGATTCAATGATTTAAAAACCCACTCGTTAGGTTTTTAGTGACGGTCTTGAACTGTACCTTTATGACCCAAAACAGTGTCTTTCTGCAGGGTGAGGGGACATGTTGCCAGCAGCCACAAGTCTATGGCATTTTTTACACCCACACACACACCGACACACTCACCCATACACCCACACAAATGCACAGGCACTAGAAGTGAGCGCCAAAAGGTCCTCAGTCCATGAGGCGTTGAACGGTACCGACGATTGACAGGAGCAACTGGACACGCAGAGGCCAAACAACAGCGGCAGGTAGACTGTAGCGCAGATAGGCCGAAGGCTGTCGTGATGAGGGTGTTTCGGCCAAGATGATGGTGGGCGGGAGACCCAACACCCAGTCAATCATTGATCACAAGATATGACCTATTACTCATGCAGGTTGTGTCACAGGAGGGAGTGACAGGGATGTATTATTCATTAATTTCCTTGCTGTAATTGGAGGCCGTGTTCTGCCAACAGACCCCTGACATGCGTGGGCATGAGGTGATGACAGGCGGTGTGAGCAAGATGTGGGCGAAGTGTAACGGGGTTCAAAGAGCTATCATCAAGCTTACGCCGAGCAACAATTACAGTATTTTCCTTTGCCAGAGTGCACCTATTAATAGGAATAGTTTGATAATTTAATATACAGTATATAGCGTTTTTCTTATTTGGGCTGTCTATCTATCTATATAGCTAGCTAGCTAGCGAGCTCGCTAGCTAGCTACCCTGACAGCTAACTAACAGCTACCCTCAGTTTGAGCTTCTGAAGTCTGTGAGGCACTGCAGATACGTATTTATTTATTTATTGTCCAATCAAGTTTCATCTCCGATGTGTTGCCATACCAAGGCATCAGATCCAGGAGTGCTGCCTCGTGACATGTACTCATCATTGGAAATGTCAGGTTTTGTTTGTTTGTTTTTTTTAAACCAAACAGGTTTCAGATTCAGCATTCTTGGCCTTCATGCAGGCTCAGAGTACTATCAGCATTTTTCTGTCCTATGATTAGTTGAGCGAAATAGTCTTGTGATGTGCACCAAAGGGTAACGTACAGAGGAGTACAAAGGTTGGACATTATTAAAACATTAATTTTCAAGGTTTACTTTTCAAGACAAACTGGACATTGTTCAAAGGGGTAAGTCAACAGTTTCTGGCTCACTTGTTTCAACCCGAAAATTGATTTATTTGGCATTCCCAGAATGGCACAAATGAGCGTTGCTCGCCCTGCACAAAGCCTGGCAATTAGGTGCTAATTGTGCACAGTGGTACACTCACTCGGGTAAAAGGCTGTGTAATGGACACTTTCACGAGAGTTTGTACACCGCATGTCTATGAGCATTAATCACAGACTGCTCTGGCCTCTGCTGATTCACTGCTTTATTATATTACATTGATTCTTCGTCTCATGGGTAAAACTATCGTCATCGACGTACAAGAAGAATCAATGAGCATTTTCGCAGTCCCATCCATTCATTTTTTTTATACCGCTTCTCATTATTAGGGTTGGTGGTGAGCTGGAGCAGGGATTTATTTGGCATTCCCAGAACGGCACAATTGAGTGACCAGCTGCATGATCTTGACAACTTGCACAGTAAAACAACATCCAGCGTAAGAGCCGTGTGAAACCTGGTGACTTTGCAACAGTTACAATGCTCAGTCTTGACTGACGCTGTCTGAGAGGTATACAGTATTTCATGTTTTTTATTGTGGTCGCGCTGGTGCAAACTGCGCTGCATCAAATTCAGAGCTGTTCCTGAATTACTAAAGCTAATCATTAAACTAATTGATCTAACCCAGGTATGAGGTCTTACCCATCCTTCATTCGGAAATCGTCATTTGTAATTCAACAGTGAATTAATATGTCAAGCAAGCGGGTGGGGGTGGAGGGAAGCATGTTGCAAAACAGGACGAGGACCCCTTAAACGAGCAAAATCATTTGGGGGTTTTGACTGACATGAAATGGGCGTACTGCAGCGCAGTTTGCATCAGTGTGTGCAGCATACATCACACAGGAGGATAATCCACTCATTCATGCTGGGGATCAAGTCCTGTGCAGATCTCTCTGCAGGACACATGCCACTGCCTTGCAGCAGGGTTCACATCATCAGCACTTATCACTATAAGAGTCGATATACAATTAGTAACATCCCACTGCTAAATAACAACTAGAAAGGGAAATCAATGAACTAAAACCACACAAAGGAGAGGCTCTTTAAAACATATGTAATTGCAGTATACAGTACATGCAATAGGAAAGAGATGTATGCGTGTGGCGTCACTGTGTTGAACACAGTAGAGTAAAATTACCGGTAAACAAGAGCTGCAGTCTTGCTGACTTGCCGTGCAGCCAATCAACAGGTTATGCACATATTTAAAAGTGGTTCGCTGTCACAGTGGCTCGACTACAACTACACAAAATAGTAAGCACTCGGTCATAGAATTCAATATTCCAAGCATTCCCCGCCACTCACCCGTACTGGCTGTGTACTGCAGGCTTCCGCGCTTCCTGAAAGGGGAAAGGGGCTTGCTTTTGGCTGCCCCGGAGGACACGTTGGAGGACATGCTGCCGGTTTCTGTGCTTCCACTTGTTTGGGGACGGGCAAAAAGGAGAACCGAATGAGTCAGATCTGCGGAGGTTGTCAGCGTGGATGGAGAGAAAGAGAGAGAGAGAGAGAGAGAGAGAGAGAGAGAGAGGGCAAAGCAGATGATGGGATGTTGTACTGATGCTGAATGCTTACGGGGAGTCAATTGCCGGTCTACTTTTACTTGTTGTGTGTGTGTGTGTGTGTGTGTGTGTGTGTGTGTGTGTGTGTGTGTGTGTGTGTGTGTGTGTGTGTGTGTGTGTGCGTACGTTCTTGGGAGCTGGGTATTTCCAAATTGGTTGGTGTGAAGCTGCAGAGCATCCCCCTGCACAAAATCTGGTCCTGCCCTTAAGAAGACATCAGCGTTGATGCTGCAGCCTTGATGGAGGTTGGGAGTGTAAGAGAGAGAGGCGTGGCTGAGACCAACAACGCCCCCACACCCCCCACAAACACACACACACGCGCACACACTCTCCATCATCCAGCACGCACAAACACGCACATGCACTCACAGAGAATACAAATGAACCACTCACTCAGCAGCACACGCCTCCTGGCCGCGCTGTTGCCATGACAACCAAAAGCCCATGTGGATTAATCATGGGAGAGGAAAGTTATGATTTTGGAAGTGACATTGTGAAATAAAATATGAAGAGTAATTGTGTATTTATTTATTTATTTTCCATTTCGAAAGTGTATAAAATCCACACAGCAGCCTAACCTGGTTTAATTTGGCCGAGAGTTTGTGGACGCCCAGATTTGTCACTAATCAATTGCAGGGCACAAGTGGACAAACATCCATCACCCGCAATGTTTAGTCTTGTTCCTGATTGTAAAGTGTCCTTGAGTGTTTTGAAAGGCGCTTATAAATAAAATTCTCAATCTATGTGGAATCCGCTAAAGATGGGGCATCGGAGGCATCAGGTATTCCACACACACAAAAAAGGGGTTCAAATATTCATAAGAGTACACCACATCCAATCAAACAATTCAGATCATGAAGCGTCTCATCTCCCTGCTCCTTTGCCTATTCCTCAGCACGTCCAGTTGAGTAATGACGTCTGATTTCTTGAGCACCGCTATCTTCTCAGGGCATTTAAGACATGTCGGGCTGTCTTGTCTTCAACAACATTCTGCTTCCTGCTATTCTTGAAATTGGGAGTTTGGTAGTTTGTTTTTTTCAACTAATGTTTCTCTTGAAGGAAGGTTTTGAAAAAGATATGACTGGGACTAGAACACGGCATATCATATCCCAATACTTGATGTCACTTCAGAATTACGTTCTGCCAAAAGCTGTCATGAGCCTGCCCTATGGCAGTCGGGAAGTGATAAACACACACACACACACACACGCACGCACGCACGCACGCACGCACGCACACACACACACACGCACGCACGTACGCACGCACGCACGCACGCACACACACAAAACACACTTACACACACACACGTGGACACTTACACACACGTGCGCACACACGCACACACACACACACACACACACACACACACACACACACACACACACACACACGTACACGCGCGTACACACACGTACACGTACACGCACACACGCACACGTCCTGCGGGCCATAAATTACATCAGCTGTGGACAGAAAAGAGCAAGCGCCCTCTTGTGGAAATGAGAAACAACAGTCTGCAGACTGCAACAGAATTATATTTCTGCTCACTGGGGCCCTTTACATTTAAAACTATCATGCTATGTAAAAGCAAAGGTGATTATGGTAGTACATACAAGTACTGTAACTTCTCTCAAATAAATGAATATCAAGGCACTGTTCAGTCATTTGATCACATTATATGATAGTCAGACCAGATTCAGTTGCCTTTGAGCTTTGCCTCTGAATGAACGAGGGACATGATAATTTCCAATATTGACCCGATGTATTATTATATGTGATAAAGGCTAGTGTGTGCGATTTTGTATTCTCCCCTTAAAGAGGAGCAAGTGGAAGTTCTTAATTTTCTTGATTGATAACATCCTGCAAGTCAATGTGATGCTGTGTCAAACATGAGCGGACAAACACGAACTTAATGAAGTGTTTCCTTGTGTTAAATCACCCTGAGTCCACTTCCCTCTCCAGTTAATCTGTCTGTGTGGCTAATCCCTCTCCGGTAGCGCAAAAGCAACACAGGTGCCATCAAAACTGACCTTGGACACAACAGAGTCCTACTCACAGTCACAACATTAGTCACTAAAATCCAATGAGATCCAGTCCATGAGCTGTTTCAAAAAGTGACTCCAATATCCTTATTATTTTAGTTGTAATATGCAGAAGTCACGGTATTTAGCAACAGGAGAAAGGGAAATTGTAGGAGCAGCACCTCATCAATAGGCAATGCAATTGCAAATTAAACCATGTGAACAAATATGGTGTAACATGCATATACCTCTATAAACCGAGCATTCTTGTCTTTACAAAGATATAGAATGTTTTTGGTATTATCATTATTTCATTAATTCCCACTTACTTGCATTAACAAACTAGATCTTTGAGGATCTTTATTTTGGTAAGAGTTTTTCTGTACAACAGATAGGTCTGGACTACTTCTGTTGTAATCAGGATAGGAATTCATTTAGAATTTCACCAGAAAGTATCTGGTTGAGCGGGGACAGATAGAGAGAGGAGTCAACAACAACAACAAAAAAAGCATGAATAGAAGAAAATAATCTGATGTAAAGTGGATATAAAAATGTACACACCCCTGTTCAAATGCCATTTTTTGTGCAATGTTAAAAAAATCAGATCAAGAAAAATAATTTCCTAACTTTTTCAACCACCAATGTCCCCTAGGTGGCAGGATGGACAAACGGTCAGCACATCCGCCTCACAGTGTGGAGTTTGTATGTTACCTCCGTGTATGCGTGGATTTTATCTGGGTACTCTGAGTTCCTTCCACATTCCAAAAATATGCATGGCAGGTTAATTGAACACTCACTATTGTTCCGATGTGTTTTGGTTAGGGGTCAGGGTTAGGGTTCAGGTTTGGGTTAGGGGTTCGGGTGAGGGGTTAGCATTCTAGTTAGGGTTAGGGTTAGGGGTGAGGGTTAGGGTGTTAGGGTCAGCGTTTGGGTTAAGGTGAGGGGTTAGGGTTAGGGTAAGAAGGTTAGGGCTATGGTTAGGGTTACGGTTATGTTGGGGTTACTGTTAGGGTTAGGGGTTCGGGTTTAGTGTTAGGGTGAGGGTTAGGGGTTAGGGTTGGTGACAGGGTTAGGGTTATCGATTAGGGTTAGGGGTTAGGTTTAGGTTAGGGTGAGGGTTCAGGTTAGGGTTCAGGGTTAGGGTTAGATATTAGGGTTAGGGCTAGCGTTAACATTAGGCTTAGGGTTAGCTGTTAGGGTTAGGTTGAGGGTTAGGATGTTCGTGGTCAAGGTTAAGGTTAGGTGTTAAGGTTAGGGTAAGTGTTAGGGGTTAGGGTTCCAATGAGTGTTAGGGGTTCGGGTGAGGGGTAGTGGTTGGAATTAGCGATAGGGTTAGGGGATTAGCGTGTTAGCGTTAGGGGTTCAGTGCTGAAGTTGCAGAGGTCACAACCACATATAAATGTGACATCATGGCAGCAGCGAGCATGTCGATGCGTCATCAGTGAGAGTACGTACACCACTGTCTTTGGCAGAGTGAAAGATTAACGTGGAGAAAATCTATCTGAACTCCTCACTGATTGGAACCAAGTGTAGTCCAACCTTAATGAAGCACCAAATTTGAAGAGGAGACACACTCTCCACTCAACTCTGTCCTTTCTACATGTCAAGCACCAATCGCTATGCCGTTATGCCCTTTAAGCACTTTGACGACTCGGTGCAACGTTTCGCATTAATACACCACAGATTGTAACCTGCAGACCAAAATGACAAGTGTTAATCCCTGGCCTCTGTGCTTGAGCTGAAGCTCTCTGAGTAATCTTGTCAACAGATCAGCGCCGCAGAGACTGATCAGAAAGTGGGGCTACGCCATCCCCAGGCTAATGGGATTGGTCACCGTCACTCGATGTGCCAGTGTAGTTAGCCCGTTTTGAAGCGTCCAAGCCACAAGCAACCTGCCCCGTGCAATTAGCACTACATGCCTAACAGAGTGACATGAGTGGACAATGTTTGAGCTCTCAAGTCAAAAGTGGACATGAAGAGAAGTGGAGTTCAGTCCACTTTCAAGTGATTACCTTGGCAATCACAAGAGTGACAATCAAGACAGAGCATCCATGTGACGTGGGCAATTGGAGACCACCTTAAACTTACGACTGTGCATCCATTCGAAACCCCACTTCCCAAATTGGTGCCACCAGGTCAGGGGGATGCAATTAAAGATGGTAATAATTATAATTCATTGAATGAGGTGAAGTCTACAATGATTCTGAGAGATCGTCTCACACTGCTCTCATATAACTGAATGAAACATACACCACGCCCATCAATCTGTCTGCTTTTGCCTTGAACAAATACACCACCTTTCTCTTCTCTTTGTCACTGAATTGAGAGATGCACCATGGGGCGCGGCAGCTCCATGTGTTGGATTGCCCAGTGAGGCACATCATGGTTCCAGACAAGGTAGACTACCGGACCACTTGCCTCGGCACAAAAATGAAGCCCATTGCGCAAACAGATGTATGAATGGTTTCGAAAAAAAAATCTGTTGGAGTTTTTTGTGTTGAAATGGCATCAAAGACCTCTTTTCCCCAAAACGAGAGATATCTGCTTTTTCTCCAAACTCTTCAAATGTAAGCCTTTCTCAAAAAGGCCCAAACTTTCATGACAAATGTCAAATGCAACAGTTCCCTCACTTTGGGACACTAAAGTACAAGTAATTACATGAATGCTACAAAGGCTTCTGACATCACGTGTGGCCCAAAATATACTGCATCCTTATCTGTATCTAACTTAAAACAGCATGTCAGAGTGAGAGGGCCCAACATGCACAGCTGGAAGCTGATGGCTCCAAGCTCACGGAGGGCCTGTTGCCAAAGCCGACATTCATCTTCACCTCATAAAATCTCTCACTCGACATTAATCACACACTGTTTGTTTTAAAAGGGGCATTATGTAACCTACAGCACACGCATTTAGGTCATGCTAACGCTCGCATCCAACCAAAGAAAGCGATGCGGCGGCAGTTGCTCTATTTAGCAGTCACCGCACCACCTGAGATTTAAACGTCTTAACTTGTAAGGAGTTTAGGAGACTTTAATGCCTCCCTCCTTGCTCGTCCATGTGACTTGAGACGAGCGTCCGACAGGCAGCGAATGCGACTCTGTTGAAAGCGCTGAGACACTTGTTCCTTTTTGAATCCTTTTTTTTTTGTCATCATTGTTCTCTAAACAGATTGAGGTGCCCCGCAAACGATATCAATTCACGTGTACTGTCGCTGCAAATAAAGAACACACACATTGGCGGCACATCCTTTGCTTTCTGCAGTGACAAAATACGATGTAAAACATTCATAACAGAAATTATGAATTAAAACAACAACAATAATATATCGGACTGTTTGTTCCGATCCCCAAAAAATAATCTACAACTCCTAACAATTGAGTGTGTTGAGACCGTCGTCTCCACTTCCTTGCTATCATTCACTTTCATTAGACTAATGAGATTGACTGGCCAATCAGGAAGAGGCCTCTCCTTACTAAGGGATTTAAAAAGAGGGAATTAGCGGCTGGCTTTGCGCGAGACAAGAGTTGCTGAACCGAGGGTCCCATCTGATCATTGACTCAGGAGAGACCAGCCAAGTCTGGAAAGCTCAAGCACCTCTCTTCCAATCCCCTTCCGCTTGGAAATCGCCTTTTAGCACGATTAGTGCTACACCAGGATTCTCTGCAAAAGCTCACAGAGGGCCGGCAAAATTTCTTTCCTTGAGGATCTTGAGTGTGAGGAGGCAGAAAGAATGGGCGCTGGTGCGAGTGCCGAGGACAAAAAGTCAAAGGAGTTGGAAAAGCAACTCCAGGAGGATGCCGACAAGGACTCGAAAACGGTCAAGCTTCTGTTGCTTGGTAAGTGAACGCCGAAAGGCACGCCGGGGGGTCTCTCGTGCAGGTGGAGACGGCGCTCGCTTTTCAGATCTCATCACTTTCGAAGTGAATTTTCTGACAAAAGGGAAATTTACGGCGAGTCAGACGGCAAGCGTGGAGTGAAAGTAAAAAAAAAAAAAAAAAGTCTTTCTTTGATTAGATTCTTTCAGGATTGAGAAAATCATTCGAGTCGGAGGGAATGCTGGTGTGCGAAAACACATAATAGCGGAGTTAGAAGATTCGGATTCAGGCTGGCTTGATAGACATCTCGGAAGTGGAAAAGAGTTTGTCAAAATCGCTTACTCAAATGTGACACAATGTTCGGGAGGGATTTGCAGATTTCTGGATTTGTTCCTGAATCAAATCTCACATACGGTGATTGGAAAGATGGCACTTGGGCACACCGGAGAGTCAATGAAAGAGATTAGACCGCGAGTCCAACAAATGAAATGAACGGAAACCGAAAAACAATCATCTGGCCATCGAGATTCGTCCAGTTACATGTTCACATTTTCACCGCGTTTTCGGAGAAGCGCGTCAAGTGTGACAAGGGTGCGCAAAAGAGCTGCAAAGACATTTCATTTCTGATGTAAGGACGTTGGCGCTTAAAAGATCACAGCCTTCGGTCTAAATGAATCACAGCACAGCGGCGATACGCCAATCCAATTAGCTAACGGGTTTAGAGCAGATCCACTTGCGGAGGCCTCTGCTGAGCCCTCCGATGACATACAAAAATGAACATTTGTTTGACTTTCACCTTCTTCGCAGCAGACACATCCGGGCCATCCGAGCAGCACAGCTTTCAAACGGCACCTCGCCACTGTCATGACAGTCACCACATTCTGTAAAACAAACTCAAACAATCCATCAGAAAGTACATCAAATTCAAACAATCCAGCAGTCTCTTACGGGGATATTGTCAAGTTGCTTTCGGGCGCAGGGGTCAAACTCAAAGCGCCTTGTTTCTTGTCAAACGAGTTCATTCATTTCATTTCGCAAGAAAATCGCAACCAAAAAAAAATTAACATTTTTCTTCACCTATATTGCTAATTGTGCATATTTAATAATATGAAGTTACCGGTACATTTCTATGGTTTTCATAATGGCTGTCTGAGCGAAACCGCAATTTACGATGTGGCCCGGGACCAAAGTGAGTTTGACGTCGTTATATTAGTGCATTTGTAAAAAGGCAAACGAACGAGAATACCCAAAGTGTCTGGACTGTGTAAATTGTTTTGCAAACGGTGTCGATGAGCTGTTTTGTAATCGAGGGTTGACATGTGTGTCCTTCGTGTGACTAAGCAGGCAGAGAAGGAAGCGACATTTCTAGTCAATTTTGGCAAGGGTGCCTCTTTAAGTTGCTCGAAATAAATTCTTCTGCCGTTTATGGGCCGAACCGCGTCCACGCTGAAGAGAAACAGCTTCTGCTAAACGTTATCCCACCCCACCCCCCACCCCCCCTCCTTGCAGGTGCTGGCGAGTCTGGCAAAAGCACCATTGTCAAGCAAATGAAGTAAGTAAACATGCACTAAATTGCGTTTGTGATTTCATCCACAGAGCGCTAGCAGGAAACAGTCATAGTGTCCCACATCGTTTTTGGAATCTGAGTGGTTAGTCGGCCGAGATGTCCCACCCTCTTTACTCAAAAGGCCAAACACCCGCTGACCCTCATTTGTCAGCACTTTTTTGGAGTCGGGCAGACACTGTTGTTTAGAGTTGGTGTGAACGCGACTTTTTACATTCATCTTGGCTATCACCAGTGCTATCCTACTACGAGCGAAATGTGGTGTCATTTGCTTCCAAACTGCTTACGCTCCACTTTGTGTACAGGATTTTGCATCAAGGTGGTTACACAAAAGAGGAACAGTTGGAATTCAGATCCATCATCTATGGCAACATCCTGCAGTCTGCTCTGGCTATCATCAGAGGCATGGAGATGCTGGGGATTGATTTTGGCGCTCCCTCTGCACAGGTCTCTGATGACACTAAGACCACACGGGCTTTAAGTTAAAGTGCACAATCCGATCCAGGACAGGTGGTCACTCCCTTGTTGATATTGAGAAACAACTTTCCATTTTACCAGATTACAAAATGAAGCTATTAAAAAAATCCAACTCACATTTGATCACACATGATGGCGACGGCTGACTTTTGAAGATTCTCAGTGGTACAAAACAGAGTTATTCGCTGCATATCAAACTTAATAAAAATAAAAAAAATTGCATGAAACTATAAATGCAGCTCACTCTTTGTACATTATTAATTTGGAGTTTTTGTCAATGTATCCATATTATACTGCATAGAACTGTGCCGGTCATCACACTTTTCCTCTGTCACAGTTGTGGTTGGCAGCATGTTGCATTTAATATGACTTTATTTTTCCACAATATTGAGGTCGAACTTCAACACTTGTGTTTTAGAGCTTCCCCAATAAGCACTTCAGGGATCTCATGTCAGCGTTTTGGTTCTGACAGGATTTTCCCTTCTCTCAAAACTGCAGGAGAATGCACAAAAACTGCAGAACTTGTCCGACTCCATCGAGGAAGGCACAATGCCTCCCGAACTGGCTGACGTCATCCAGAAGCTGTGGAAGGACTCTGGTGTGCAGGCCGGGTTTGAAAGAGCAGCTGAGTACCAACTCAACGACTCGGCCGGCTAGTGAGTTCGCGTCTTCAGCTCTTAAAAACCATACAAGCAAGCAAGCTTTCCGCAAATGTGACAGTGTGCTGTTTGTGTTTCAGCTACCTCAACGAAATGGACAGAATCTGTAAACCGGACTACCTCCCCACCGAGCAGGACGTGCTGCGATCTCGAGTCAAGACAACTGGTATCATTGAAGAACAGTTCTCCTGCAAAGAGCTTCACTTCCGGTGAGAGAGGGATGGAAAAAATGCCAAGCTCACAAGCGGGACACTAACAGCCTCTTTGGTGTACAGGATGTTTGATGTGGGAGGCCAGAGGTCCGAGAGAAAGAAGTGGATCCATTGTTTCGAGGGCGTGACGTGTATCATTTTTTGTGGCGCCCTCAGCGCATACGACATGGTGCTGGTAGAGGACGATGAAGTGGTGAGTTGGGCCGCGAGTTGTGCAGTGAAGAAGGACCCTAAATCTAACCAGTCACTGACGCGCTCTCACTTTGACCTTTCAGAACCGAATGCACGAGTCCCTCCATTTATTCAACAGTATCTGCAACCACAGGTTCTTTGCGCTGACCTCCATCGTTCTGTTCCTCAACAAGAAGGATCTTTTTGAGGAGAAGATCAAGAAGGTGCACCTGAGCATCTGCTTCCCGGACTATGATGGTAAACCCAAATGTTTAGCCAAAATAACCCAAACACATGGTTTGAGCAACTATAAAACTCTACCTGCTGTTATTTTTACACAACTGATTTTTTTCTGATTCTTTTGGTGTGCAGTAGTCTGTGTTGTACAAACACCGCACACAACTGAGTTCAGTGTTTCTCAGTCTTTATTGAGCCAAGACACATTTACAGTTTACTCATGGCTAACCATCAAACGAAAATGTCACTAAAAGTATACATGCTAAATAACTACGGTTTTTGTGCCAATTTACTCACAAATGAGCTTGCTCAGAGTGAAATCTGGGCATATTTCATACAATACAAAGCTTCTGTACCAATGGCGACAGGTGAAAAAAGGTTAAGTGTTCCATCTGAGATCTCGTGAAAGAATATGTTATTGTTCTGCCTGTCATTATACTTTGTATGTTGCTGACAGAAGACAAAATAATAAATTTACATTATTTGCAGGAAGTACACAATCATTTTGGATCCACTTTAGTGAAATTGGACAGTTTGGTGCAGCACACCTGAATGATAATCTATCACTGGTTGGGAATCACTGACTTGCTAGCTAGCTAGCTAGCTATCTATCTTGAGGTTGCCATTCTACTTTTTGCAAAACCTAGGCAACGTTCCATCACATTGTCTGAAGCCGCTTTGTCAAAATCATGCTCTTACAAATTGTTACTTCGAAGTACCCGCCAGCTCTGTGCCCGAATCAAAGCAAGAATCTTGAATACGACTCACATCAATGTATTGCAGGCCCCAATACGTACGACGACGCCAGCAACTACATCAAGTCGCAGTTTGAGGAGCTGAACATGAAGAAAGGCGTGAAAGAAATCTACTCCCACCTGACCTGTGCCACAGACACAAAGAACGTTGAAATTGTGTTCAACGCTGTCACAGACATCATTATCAAGGAGAACCTTAAGGACTGCGGTCTCTTCTAAGCGGCCCCAAAGTCGTATGTAGGTGAGGACCCAGACATGACACGGCGCACATAATTCAGTCGGAGTCTTGTCTCAAAAAGTGAGGGGCCATTAATAACTGCAGAAGATGAGGAAGAGCATCGGATATGAGGTGATGACATATGATCTCGACATCAAAATCTGTTTTTTTTTGGCTCATGAATCCAAATGGGAAAGAAATTAAATCAACTGTTGGTAATGGGACAGCAGTGAAAAATATTAGCTGCGCATTCAGATGAACAAGGAGAAGAAAACGGAGTATTAGCATTAGCATGATAAATCAGTCACGGTTGCTAGTGAGAAAATGTAAAAAAAGGCACCGCCCCCCCCCCCCTAAAAAAAGAGTCCAGTGTCTAATTCTAGTAAACCTATAAATTAGGGCGCTCCTTTTCACCAAGAAAGTTTCTCGGTTATTCAGGGGCCTCATTTTCCAACAAGAAAAGCATCACGTTGTGTCCTTTGTTGTACTTTTCAGGTAGGCCAAGGGTGGTTAAACATTTGATGGTTAAGGGCCACCTTGATTTTTAAAACAGACAGACGAGCCACAGGTCATCCGGAGATGACGTTAAAAGAAAATAAAACAAAAGAACAGAGTTAAATATGCGCACATAAAATATGACGCGAAATTGTTCATTTTAACATTGTAATAATAAGATATTTATTGTATAACCTTTTCTGCAGCTCACTTGATGAAATAAAATGGAGTAAATTCACCACAGCATTTTTTTCAGCGCAGAGCCGTGGCCTCGATCTCCATATTGGATGCCAATGGGCCCTCTTTCCACAGTTGTAGCGGATTGAAACAATTGGCAGGGTCGAAAACGCCAAATTTGAAGACTGTACAGTATATTTGAGCAAAACTATTGGAACTGAATTTGTGCTTTGCCTTGTCTTTGCAGAACTTCACTCTGTCCCTCACGTACTGGCATTAACTGAAATGTGTACCACTGGAGCAGCAAGGATTCTTTCTATTCATTGCGTTCATGCCGAGTGACTGTCCCATTTAACATTTTTCCTGCCACACAGCAGCGCACGTCCAATCGGGTCGACACTCCCGACCTGATGGACATTCACGTTTTTACTGGTTCCTCAGTTGCAAAAAAACCCCAAACAAACAGGAATTTGAAGAAGCCCCTCATTGCTTCCTTTGCGAATTTCCCGCCAGTTTGATTAGGAATAAGGTATTTTGAATGAAAAAAGACAATGAACCCAGAGTTAAAGAATAATGTTTTTGTGTAGCATCATGGCATCCTTTGTTTTTGTTTTTTTTTTTGAGTACCGTAGTCTCTGTGGTCTTGATATTACTGTAAAATGTTGCCGGGGGCAAACATGTGAAATGATTCGCCGTGCTTGCAGAATGACCAGATTACAAACGTGTATCTCATTTAAAATAGTGCTGATGTTTTCGATACACCTGACATTATAAGGAGGAAAAAATACATTTCTGATATGCGAACATGTTAGAGAAACATTGTACATAGTTAATTCATAACTGCTTTGAACAATAATAAAATGCACGTTATATATACTGTATATGCTTTATGATAAAAGGGAATGAAAATTGACAGTTTGTCCTTTCTTATGAAATGTAGAGGCATCAATTAAAGCTGCATCCCGCATCTCTCTCTCTCTCTCTCTCTCTCCATGTGTTTCTTGTTTTTACTCAGTCAAAAGCCTCGAGTGGCTATGATGCGCCGCAATTCATTTTGTTGACGTTCTTGGAGTGATTTGGGCCATAAAGTGTGAGCGGAAGTCCTTCTCGTTGAGCCTATCCCAGCTGCTATAGGGCAGTAGGTTGGGGACACCCTGAACCGGTTGCCAGGCAATCGCAGCACACACACAGAGACGTACAAACATCCGTGCTCACACTTAAACCTGGGCACAATTTAGAGTGTTCAATCAGCCTGCAATGCACGTTTTTTTGGAATGTGGGAGGAAACCGGAGTACCCGGAGAAAACCCACGCAGGCACTGGGAGAACATGCAAACTCCACACAGGAAGGCCTGGAGCTGGAATCGAACCCAGGACCCCCTTCACTGTGAGGCTGGCGCGCTAACCAGTCGGTTGCCTTACCGCCCTTTAAGAAACATATTCATTCAATTCAACATTCATGTTTTATTTTTGATCAATTGAAAACTTTCATTAAAGTTCAATTCACAAATGAAGCAAAGTAAAAAAACAAACAACCCCCCCGCCCCCCAAAAAAAACCTGCAATTTCCAACAAGTGATAAGCGGAGTATTTATATCCATTGAGCAAAGCAGTCGCATCAAAAGTGTAAATGCTGACAGCGGACCAAAATGCGTCCCGAGAATAGTTGTCAGTGGCGGAAAAAGAATTCGTAATGGGGGTGGTAGCGGAGGGGTACATGTGCTACAAATGTTGTCGTTGATGCCGTCATGCGCTGAAATGTAGTCAGCGAAGGGGTGCGGCCGTCACGTATTTAAACATAATTGTTGACGGGGGGGGGGGGTCGGCGACAACTGCTAGTGGCCTTGATGGCCAGGAAATCTCCTGGAAATACACAGGCGGTTTGGGAAAATGAACAGATTTTTCCCCAAATTCCCGATGGAGCACCCTGCCCCTGGCTGTCAGAATTTACACTATGAATTTGGTGATGTCTGCGATTGGCTGGCAACCGGTTAAGGGTGTGCCCCGCCTACGGCCCCAAGACAGCTGGGATCGGCTCCAGTACCCCCCGCCACCCTTGTGAGGATCAAGCGGATCGGAACATAGATGGATGGAATTTGGTGATGTACAGTATGGAGAAAATTCCTTAAATTTTATCAGTTCTCAAAGCCGCTAGAGATGTGGATGTGGCGCAACACAGTAATCAAAGATGCACATAGCAGTCACCAAATTCCCTTTTTGTTTCTTTATATGCATCTGTGAAAGTACATTTTCTTGCCTTGTATAATAACAATATTTACATGTATTCCTTGAGCATTCCCTGTTGTCTTTCACTGCGGGCAGGCGACCTGGTTCATGTCTACGGTGTGTTGTACTACACGGGCAACAGGTCATCACGCTTCACAGGTGTCCCTATAAATCCCATTTTCCATTTCCATTCCAACCTTCGGCGCTTTGTTTGGAAGTGGCCGTTTTTAAGTCTTCAAGGTAGACATCACCGATCTGGTGGGAGGTTTTGATTTAAAACGAATCAAAGGGGAGGGCAGCTTTTTTTTTCCTTCCTCTCGGCTAATGATGTTAAAATGAGCCAATATAAATGCAGAGCAAAGACATGCAAATTCCAAATGGGAAAAATGATTGATCGGCCTTCTTTGAACAGGACACGAGGGAAAGAATAAAGGACTCCCGAGTATGAAGTGAGAGCTGTTAAACAAATATGCACTTTTTTAATCATTTGGGGGGGGGGGGGTAAAAATGGCTTCACGACTGAGCCTCCTATATGAAAAAATAGAGCCAAGAAATTACATAATTTTCCTTGATGAATTTAAGTGCAGTGATATCGTTCGATATAATCAAAAATCAGATTGTGCTGCTGTGGAATTTATTAGACTTCATGCTAAGCGAAGCCAGGACCTATATGTAAAACAATGTCCCCTATGAAAGTTGGCATTCAAAGACTCCAAAGCAACACTGGGAGCCAATTTCAAAATAAGAGCTATGTAATCCAACTACTTGCAAGAAAAACATTTAACCGGATGAAGTGAATTAACACATAAGCTGCTTCCGTGTGAAAACAGACATACTGTAAGGTGTTCAACGCTGTCGATTACCTGCCCCGAATGCAAAGACCAAGCAAAGAACTCGCAGGGATTGCTTGGCTAGCCGCTCTCACCAATCTCTCCATCCCAGCAAAAATCCGGCCAAGGCTAAAAGGTATCATGAAGCAAGTCCACACAATGGTGGTTGCGACACTTGGTGCAGACGGCACCATCTTTGTCCTTGTGTAAAACACTGCACTGCACCTTATGCAGACAACACATAGCAGTCAAGACGACCAGAGTCCCCTTTAGACACCTGGAACAAATAACAGATAAAATACGTGTTACGTCATTTTTATTTTTTTGCTCCCTTGTTAAAGTTTGTTTTTTTCATGTTCAAAGCAGTAAGAAGTCAAAAATAAACAAATTCTGAAAACCCGACACATTGTTCTGTATTTAAAAAAAACAACAACAAAAAAACGTATTACCGCATTTTCCACACTAAAAGGCGCACTGGATTATGAGGCGCACCTTCAATGAATGGCCTATTTTGTAATTTTTTCATATATTGGACGCACCGCATTATAAGACGCAATCTACAATGCATCCACTAGATGGGAGCTACGCTCAAGGAAACGCCAACAGAGCGATCATATGTCAGTAAAATTTATTTAATAAAGCAGCGACACAGTTCACTTAACCAACAGCAAGTTATAACATTAATTCGTTAACGTTGAACTCTCTTGCCGCTAGCTGCTCTATTCCCGTGTTCAACTGCGAAACCGATTGCCTTAAGTTTGAACTCTGCGTTGTAAGCATGTCTCGAGCAAGGAGCCATTTTGGGGTTGACATATTACCGTAATGACCATACACAAGGTGTATCGGATTTTAAGTCGCGCTGTGAGCTTTTAAGAAAATTGAATTCTTTTATGTGCACCTTTTAGTGCGGAAAATATGGTACCTGAACCCGAATAAAGATCACACAATATGCCGCAAAGTTGCTCAAAACAATTTTCCCAATGAAAATGCGTGAATGCACACAAGGCTCACGATCATCAAGCTAGTCTGTGATACTGAACAGAAATGTTGAAGCTGTGAAGTTCGTGCTGCTCTCACCTTTTGTGGCTTAGTAGAGCCCAACATCCGCCAGGTTGATTTTGATGATAACATCGGTGACGACGTCGAACACAAACTGCACGTTCTTGGTATCCGTGGCGCAAGTGAAGTGGGTGTAGATCGCCTTGCTGTCCTTTTGTTTATTTAAGTCTTCAAACTTGACCTTGATGTAGTCTGCCGCTTCCTCGTACGAATTCTCACCTTTACACACACCGAAAAAAAAATTGGAAAAATAGGCAACACACACAGCAGAGTGGTTTATACACAAAAAAAACAAAAACAAAAGAAAAAAAACACACAGTGAACTATAAATATGTGTACAATGCATTCTATCAAGGCCAGCGATAACATCACATCAACGTCACATTGTATTATTGAGAGCCAATACTGAAAACACTGCTGTGTTATGCTGTTTGGTTTGTGGTGACAAGAATGGAATATCAACAATCTCGGTGGGGGCGGAGCCTCGTCACCTCAACAGGAAACACTGGTCTGACACATCTACGATCTTACGATTCACTGAAATCAACACATTTGAGGAAACTATCTGAAGGAAACTTCATTCATAACGACAATCTTTTTTTTCTGCTTGATAACGATGTATGCATGCATCTGAATACGTGAAAAAGATTTTCCTTGTTAAATATTTTGTATGAATAGAGCGGCTGGTCAATGCACAGTAGGAGTCAAATGTTGATTATATTAGCTTGAAAGTACAGCTTCTGATGTTGTATACATTTAGTTCAAATTGGATGAAATATCCTCAGGATACGGTTCGTGACAAGTCTAGTTTGCCGGGAACAGCTACAATGTGGCGATAGAAAGTAGAGTGTGTTCAGGCGTATCTTTATTTTCGGCCTAGTTTAGCACGATTTTGAATTTGGTTAATGCGTACTGCTTCACTGGGCGCTGCGGTGGATGGAGCTGTCATGTCCCCGCAGCGTCTGGCAATTTGGTGACAAAAAGACGAAATTTTAGACTGACTGGCTAAAAGCAGGTCTAAGTGGTGGCGCAAATGGTGTAACGGGATTTTGGTGGATTGATTACGTCGCAGGCAGACAGTTTCGGTGCTTTGCCGATGTGTGTGGTGTATGTTGTCGTATTTAATTCGTAAATATGACAACTGTATGCGACAATCTCATTCCCCCCCCCCCAAGCATCAATGGAAAAACTGATTGAAATTACAAAGAGCCCGTATTCCATTTCCAATTTACCATTGGCACAATTTTTTCTGTATAACCTATTGAACAGCTACTTGTTTCCACATATTTGTGTCGTCTTTCGGAAAAAGCCCCAAGATGGCCAAACCACCTGTTCTTTCACGGAGGAGTTGCTAGCATTGGCCACCAGTTAACAGCGACATAATCAAAGTTCTGACTGACATACGAGGCTTCCCATGAGTTGAACGGCAGAGAAATTCCAATTGCCAGAATCCGATCAAGTGTAAGCCCTTTATTTTGAAGCGCAACGTGTTGTGAGACGCATCTGGATACACTGTTCCTAACATGATACATTTAAGGTACATACAAAGCAACTCGATGTGACGCAAAAATTGCAATATGCCTGCGCTACATCTTTACTCTTACAGGGACTGCAGGTTACGACAGTGGACAGCTTCTCAGGTTATCCGGTTATCGTTATTTGTGCATGAAATGGTGAATGAGGCAACAGTTGATCCTACCTGTGTACTCCGGGTAGCAGATAGTGAGCGGGCTCCTGTCGATCTTCTCCTCAAACAGGTCCTTCTTGTTGAGGAAGAGGATGATGGAGGTGTCTGTGAACCACTTGTTGTTGCAGATAGAGTCAAACAGCTTCATGCTCTCATGCATGCGGTTCTGAGGGGAAAGAGAGAGCAACAGAATGGCATCTCACATGGCCGTCGACGCCTGTTCAAATTTGAGACGGGGAAGGAAAAACGAACAAACCATCTCCTCATCCTCAGCCAAGACCAGATCATAGTCATTGAGAGCAACACAGAAAATGATGGCTGTGACTTCCTCAAAGCAATGAATCCACTTCTTCCTCTCTGAGCGCTGACCACCCACGTCAAACATCCTGCACACACAGGAACCAAGGCTGCATAAATATCATTTCAGTTTCAAGACCATTCAAACTTTATTCTCATGTGAGAATGAATGCCTCCTTTCATATCACCTTTCCTGCCACGTGATGATAGTCAGGAATAAAAAAAAAAAAAAAATGAATATGAGTGGCTAACTTGCGGGTATAACGTGTCTCCTTAAGTCATGATAACAGCAGACAGTTTGTTGCAGATAAATTGCCGTGGAATACATTTCAATTAAATCGCGCACAGGCTTAAAATGTGCTCTGTGGAAAAAAACAACAATGGAATTCGTCAAAAACACAACAATATTTAATCTGACTAGAGAAAGAAAACAAGCGAAAAAACAAAACAAAAAAAACAATCATGAGATAAGAGGCCTCGCTATAACACGGCTTCACGATTGCACAGATTTTTTTTCGTGCATTTTTGTTTTTTTTTTTGACAGTGCATTGCGTCCTAAATCCTGATTGGTTTTGGGACTGTAGACTATTGCCAACAGTGTCCACACCTCGTCGCTGTACAGCTTGCCAAATTTTCTCCATGACAAAACCCACAACGGTGATGAAATGTTCTGTACAGTATTTCTAAAAACTGTCAGTTGTTTGTAAGAAAACGTTTATATCTTTGGGGAGGCGTGGTGGCTGTCATTCTTGTAGATGTGTCCCCTTGGGTGTTTTTTTTTTTTCTTTCAAGGTTTCTCTGTTCCTAGCCATGCCATTTTTAATGTTGATTATCAGGACATGTGCCCGTGTTTTGTGTGTGTGTGTGTGTGTGTGTGTGTGTGTGTGTGTGTGTGTGTGTGTGTGTGTGTTTATGTTGTATTTTGGATGTTTTTAATTGCACAGCACTTTGAGCTGCATTTTTATGTATGAAAAGAGCTACATAAATAAAATTGGATTGATTGATTGACTGGGGGTTTGGATCCGGGAATGTGGTTAATGTTTGTCAAGTGTGGGCATGCGAAGCCTTTGGAGACGTTTCTGTAATTAAGGGCGACAGAAAGAAATTTGACTTGACTTGACGACTAGAAAAATAGCTGCTATGATCCCCATTTTTCATTTTCACACTATATGATTTCAAAACAAATACTGAATCCTCGTATTGGATTGTTTTTTCAAATTTGATGTATGAAATATCCATAAAACGGAATTATCAAAACTTATATTAAGGTCATCAACCATTTAGTTATTTATTTAAGATTAAGATTAAGATATCCTTTATTTGTCCCACACTGGGGAAATTTACAGTCTACAGCAGCAAATTTGGGGGTAGAAAGAAGTGATGAATAAATATAACTGTTTATTTCACGTTTACAACACAAAGATACTGTGGCTTAATTTCATAAACTCTACTTCTGCCCATTCATTTATAACATATGCTTTTTTTTAAAATCTCCCTATGTATAATGGCTGAAATAAAATTTCTTCTTCTTATGCATGCCATAACCTGATCTGGAGGTCAACGTGATTTGTGCTGGATTTCATGCGGCATAGGTCAGATTATTATTATTTTTTTTTTATTCTTTCAATCCTACAACGCTTCCTTTGCGCACATACGTGGCTGCAGTTACTCGTGTTTGACTATAAAGAGACAATAAATCATTTATCATCCATCATCGCCTGCACATCTGAAAACAAGTCAAACCACTTCGTAAAAAGACAAACACACGAGCAAACAGAGCACAGGGATGCTGAGATTTGAATCCAGAAACTCTCAGCTGCATGGCACAAAACATGCTGGCTATTCGTATGCCCAGTTAGGTGTACGTGTAGCTTTTACTCACTTAAAATAGAGATCTTTGAAGGTGAAGTGAGTTTCAACGATGCCTGTGGTCTTGACACGCGTCCGCAGCACGTCCTGCTGGGTCGGGATGTAGTTGGGCTGACAGAGCCTGTCAAAGTCGTTCAGGTAGCTGCGGTAAAGAAATATGGTCAAAGTGCGCTCAGGTGATACAATCACACTGCAGACCATAATGGATAGTGCTTGCAAGCGATTCAAAAAAAAAGTGAGATTAATTAATTATGATCTGTAATTAATTGTTGTAATTAATCTATATTTTAATCTCATCTAAAAAGTGCTGAGAAAACCCCTATTTTCATTTTTAATTCATTACATTATTGAGGCAGATCAAGAGACAAAAAAAGTGGCATTATCAAGTCTTTCATTGTTTGTAAACAGACTTGAACAAATGCAGGCTGTGACTGACAATTGTTTCCCCACCCTCAACAACTCGAACACAGGAAGCCAACACATGAAAAGGGATATTATGAAAAGGCAACCCACATTCAGAGACAATAAAGTTAGAGATTAAAATTTAGATTAACGCGATTAAAAAAACATAACGCGCTAAATGTGACTGTAATTCATTATTCGCAATTGACACCTCTCATAATAGAATCTGTCAACTCTGAAAGCAACGTTTCTAATACTCGATGACAGCGCTGGTACGAGTAGATCTCGGTAGAATCCATTACACTTATGGTAAGCAACTGAAAATCTGTTCCAGGTTCAAAACGGTGCGATCGGTAAAGCTTTCTTCACTGTCAAGTAACATTGTAACGTTCTTAGATGTTATAGAGTTTAACCGGTGAAAGATGCCGTCGCTCCTCCGTGCCATACACTTGACCCAAATTACTGGACTACTTTCCTTGTTAGGCGGGGTTTTGGCGACATCTTGAGTAATTTTAGGGAGTTTAGATAAAGAACGCTTTTGGTGAATTGTAAGACAACAAATACATGGGAGATTACTGGATGTGCCGTGTATCTGACTGGCAACCAGGGTGTACCACTTCTCGTCCGCTGGGATTGGCTCAGGTGAAAGTAAGCACTATTGCTGTTGTGGTCGGAAAAAAACAAAAAAAACAGCCAATATTTTAGATTCAACAAGTGTTTCGGTTTACAAGATGAATGCTTCAAGTCCCGCTTTCCTTGGAGCACAATAAATTGCACATGGTCGCAAAATCGCTCGAGGTGTTGCTTCTCTCCTCTTGCTGAGGAATGCGATGGAGTGAGGAGCAAGTGAGCACACAGCGACCTTTAAAAACAAGACACGTCTTGCCTCCTTTGGGTTCAAGTGGAAACACTGTACCGACGATTAAGAAACGCTCCTCTTATTAAAAGCTGACGAGATGGAACGTAGCAATAAAGCTCCGGAAATACTGATAAGAATGTCACTAGAAACCATTGAGGATTCCTGTGGTATAAAGAAAGTGCGAAACAAAGTGAAGCTTGAGAGGAGGCAATACGGCAAACAGAATGAAATATTTAGTGGCTGCTTTTTCATTCCTGGCGGGATGGTGCTTGACTGGCTAGCACATGCGCCTCACTGTGCAGAGGTCATGTGTTCGATTTCGGGGTCCGGAAACCACCGTCCATGCCTGGGTTTTCTCCGGGTACTCATGTATGGTATGTTAATTTGAACACTCTAAATTGTCCCGAGGTGTAATTGTGCCTATTGCCCGTAGACAGCCGGGATAGGCTCCAGCACGCCCGCGACCCTTGTGAGGATAAAGCCGCTCAGATAACGTATGGATGTTTCATTCCTGTTTTCCACAGTGCAAGATTTGTGCGCGCAGTTCAGTGGAAACCAATAAAACTGGTAAGATGGATCTCACTATGCAGCAGAGTCGTTGAGCTGATACTCTCGCGATCGGTCGAAGCAGGCCCGGACGCCGCTGTCGGCCCACAGCCGCTGGATCACGCCGCTGAGCTCCGCCGACATCGTCCCTTCTTCTGCCGAGCTGGCGAGCGCAAAGAGCTGTCGGGCATCGTCCTGGGAACACACGCATTCCTTTCTGTCATATGCAGCTCATGACACGTTTACGTTTTGAAGTATCTCAGTGTTGTTAGCTCACCGCCCGGGCCTCGTCGCCAAAGTCGATCTTTAAGTGTCCCATTGCCCGGATGATGGCCATGATGGACTGGATGGTGTTGCTGTAGACCACCACTTTGTACTGACTGCACTCCTCCTCTGAGTAGCCATCTTCATGAATGATTCTAGCAATTAAAGCAAGAAAACAAGCTTTCAGCTCGTATAAATATTTAAAACTGTGAAGAATGACTCCAGCTCAAGTGGGACATGTTAGCGATCAGCAAGATTTCAGTGCAAGCTGTCATTTGAGCTGGAATTTGAGCTCCTGTGAACATGCAGCATGTCTAATGTGGGAACTGGGGGAGTCCATTCATGTCTTGCCAGGCTATGACCGGCCTCGGTGGCCTTTGTTTCACATGTTGTGCAAAATAGGCTTTTCGCTCTGCCCCGGTGCATCGGAATGAGTCTGCTCTCTCGTTTCCGCATAGATGAACGCTTTTTGTTGCCGCAGACAACAGGGCTCAAAACAAAATCAACCTTGTGTGTTTCATGCTTACTTCATCTGCTTGACTAGAGTGCTTTTCCCCGATTCCCCAGCACCTGGAAATGAGACAAACAATAATTATATTCGAACCACGGCACTTATTTTGCTCTCACCTCATCATACATCATGAAACGTGCATGTTTGTATTGAACTCTAAAGTTTATTTTGACTTGAGCCCGAAGGTTTCATATACAGTCAAAATGTGCAAAGTTGTTGGAGCGCTGCAGCAACGTACTTTTTCCACATATACAAGTCAGCAATTTCGATGGAAGAACACATTGTCAAATAGGTTTTCATTTACCCAAGAAATCCCATGCTAACTTAAACCTGATGATATAATACAATACAATAATTTCATGTACAATATCATATTTATTTAATATATAATAATAATAATAACAATAATAATAATTATAATAATACAATAGAAAGAAACCACAGAGGTGCATGTAGCAGTGGCTATCATTGTTGTACAAGTCTCCTCTGTAGGAAGCGAGAGACCAATAGTGACGGTTTACGCAAATGATTTAGACATTCGAGGTGTTGCAATGAAGGGTGGGAGGCTCACTTCCCATGACAAACTTTTACAGAATTTCAACATTAAGCCGCACAGGATGCATCTGGCTGACTGAGCATTTTGCTTCCACCAGAGGGATAACAGAGTTATCTGAGCAGTAAAAAAAAAAAAAAAAAAAAAAAAAAAAAAACAAGGAAAACCAGTCTGGTCTCAGTGTAAACCTGCAAAAAACACATTTTCGATTGCACAGAGCGACAGACAGATAGCTAGCTAACTCCCTAGCTAGAGAGCTAGCTTGCTAGCTAAATAGCTAGCTAGCTAGCTAGCTAGATAGCTAGATAGATGCTCACAAACTAGACCAATAGTTTTAGCATACTGCTCAGCTGTATTTTCAAGATTTACAGACCATCATACTTTCAAATTAGATGCAGTTTGCTCAAAAGACCTTTAGTTTATGTTCAGTGGCATGGGTTAAACCCCAAACACTTGATTAGGCAAAACGCATTGAAGCCTGTCTCTGGTTCCGTCCCGTTCGTTACATTTTGAGTGATTATCAACCATGGCCTCCCGCCAGACCAACTTTGGATTCGCAGTTGCCCAAACAGATGCAGAATTTACCATGATGGCTCATTGAACAAGATATATTTTGGGCTGCGTTTAAAATTACTGTTTGTGGTCTGACAAGAGCATTTTCATTGGTGGGGTGTGTAATCATTCCAGCTTTGTGGTTTGGGGTATTAACTTCCCGTGACTCCCTTTGTTTCCCCCCCTAACTCTCTTGGTCCTGCGCCATCCAGGAGAAAAATACCTCACTCCTCAACATTGTATTCGCAAGCATATTGTACAATGAAAGTTTCCCGATGACAAGATCTCGACTTTGCAACAGTACACAAACCGAAGCCAAGCTAACAGTTAAAAGCAGGAGGGAATTCATCTGTTTATCTTCACGTGACAGCAATTTGAGGTTTGATTTTTCTCATTATGCTAAACTCGAGGAGGTGGTTTTTGAGGGCTGCCTGGACAGCAGCCCTGCTCCAGCCTAGTGGGTGAACCTCAACCACTATATACGTATCTGCTGATCGAAAGATGCCTGCTGAGTTTTCACTGCGGTCTTAGAGCAATAACAATTGCTCAAAAAACCTTTCATCACAATAGTGTGGGGAGGTTGGCAAAAAAGAAAAAAAAAAAAAGAAAAAAGCTCATTTATACGGTGTAAATCCTCATTGTGGAAAAAAAACCCCGCTAATTCTGGAAGAAAAAAAAACATACTAATTTACATAATAACAGTAGTACAGGCAACTTAACTTCAATGTACAAAAAACACCTATAATCACAAATAACACTTATTATTGTTGCCCATGCTCATGCACGCATACTGTACGTTGTGAATCAAGTCAATTTGTTGGAGGAACTCAAACGCGTTACGTTCTCTTTAATCTGTCGATTAGTGCGGATCTTTAACGTCAGTGGCCAAAACATGCCTAATCTAAATTCAATTGCAATAATAAACTAACCACCAGATTGTGCTAGAACTGCACAAATAGTAAACAATCTGACCCTCTGAACAGCTGCTGCTTTTAATATAGTGACATGGTGTCAATTTTAATCTTGCGATATCGCAATATTGCCGTTATCCTTACATCCCTCCTTGAAAGCCAAGAACCTGATATCTGGCTGACTTCCCCACCCATCTCTGTGGGCCTACCTACAAATGTAACAACCATCTACTAATCTGTGCCTCTCTGCCCGAACAACTACCTCAAATACACACCCTACCAAACCTATCTCCTTCTACCACTCTGCCTACCACCCACCTGCTGAGTACAAGTTGCTGATTGGAATCTGTGTTTATATTAAAGCTCTGCAGCTGATTTACCAATCTGTTGTAGGGAACATTAAACATTGTTATTGATTGCCTCACACAGCACAGAAATAGCCTCAAGTGGTGCCAGTGGTGTCAGGAGAAGGAGAGACCCTTAAATCAGGAGGGCTCCACCTTAAACCGTGTGCGGTGGATCCCTCCTGATTCAAGGAACATTAAACGTACTGTATTCCTTTGGTCTTATTTTTTGACTTTGAAGTTTTATTTTAATTCCCAATCTTTCTCATTGCTCTGATGTTTAACATCCAAATATATTGAGTTGCATTTTTCGGTCAAGTCAATAAGTCCTGCCAAGAGATGATAAGCAGAACCGACTTCCAACAAGCATACATATGGAACCAAAAAGAGGTCACTTCTGGTTTATTTGGAAAGCTGGTTTCAGAACATTTCTGTTTAGATAGAAAGCATTACCAATGCACTGAGAACAGCGGCATTAACAATCAAGTCTGCATGTCTGTGCTTCTCACTGACAAGGTCAGTGTGTCCATCCATCCATCCATCCGTTTTCGAATCCGCTTATCCTCACAAGGGTCGCGGGCGTGCTGGAGCCTATCACAGCTGTCTTCAGGCACTGGGCGAGGTACACACTGAACTGGTTGCCAGCCAATAGCGTCAGTGTGTGTGTGTGTGCATGTTAAGATGGACCAAGCCATATATATTATATATTATGTGATACGGTCTTGTCAAATATGTCATGTCTCGTGTTCCCACTACCCCCTGGATGAAAAAGTAAGGAACTGAATGCAATGTTTGTACATTTGGGGACTGAAAATGGATTCCCTATTCTCAGGAAAACGGGTTAACATCTTAACGACAACAAGGCATTTCTTTTGACCACATATGTTATTACTATAGGTTTTGATGATTACCATTGAGAATTGAAAAGGATTTTTGTTCACTGTTATTGGTGTGTGTGGCCTGGATTCTATTATTGACATGATGGGCAGCTTTCACATGAAAAAAATGAAAGAACATACATTGTGGCCTACTGCTGCTTTGTATGAGCTGTTTGAAATGCATTTAATAAAAGACAATTGTTGAAATCTTGTTTTGTTTTTTTATGGTAGTGAGTCATGGGATATTTTTGCCCCCGCTGCCTGTTGTTCTCTATTTTTATTTTTACTTGCCTTTTGAGATGACATGTCTGTTCTTGGTGTTGGATTTTATCAAATATATTTCCACCAATATGCGACTTATACTCCAGTGCGACTTAAATGTGTTCTTTTCTTCTTTATTATGCATTTCATGGCTGGTGTGACTTATAGTCAGGAGCGATTTATAGTCTGGAAAATACGGAATGTGTTTGAGGTGTTGTGATGGTCATCGCGAGTACACAACACTTTAACAACAGTAAGCACCTGTTCCGATAGTTTTCTTTGACATGTGTAGGATTACTTATATTTTATTAATCGAAGCACATGATAAAAATTGGTACTTGTGTAAGCCACTTAAACAGACATTAAAAATAAATGGAAAATGCAGTCCAGCAAATCATGATAAATTGTTCTCAATTGAGATATTTTAGTGAAGCTCAGCTAACTCCCTTTATAGAAACGGACCCATCGTTTGTGTGCAGAAAATAGGTCACGGTTTTGTTTGGAACCTCTTCATTTGGTTGACAGCAATAATCCTCACAAATGTAAGAAAAAAATGAACACAACATTGACCAACTTCCACAACCGTGCTCCAGTTTCATGCACTTGTATATTGGAATGCATGGGCAATAGCTAGCTAACTCCCTAGCTAGAGAGCTAGCTTGCTAGCTAAATAGCTAGCTAGCTAGCTAGCTAGCTAGCTAGATAGATGCTCACAAACTAGACCAATAGTTTTAGCATACTGCTCAGCTGTATTTTCAAGATTTACAGACCATCATACTTTCAAATTAGATGCAGTTTGCTCAAAAGACCTTTAGTTTATGTTCAGTGGCATGGGTTAAACCCCAAACACTTGATTAGGCAAAACGCATTGAAGCCTGTCTCTGGTTCCGTCCCGTTCGTTACATTTTGAGTGATTATCAACCATGGCCTCCCGCCAGACCAACTTTGGATTCGCAGTTGCCCAAACAGATGCAGAATTTACCATGATGGCTCATTGAACAAGATATATTTTGGGCTGCGTTTAAAATTACTGTTTGTGGTCTGACAAGAGCATTTTCATTGGTGGGGTGTGTAATCATTCCAGCTTTGTGGTTTGGGGTATTAACTTCCCGTGACTCCCTTTGTTTCCCCCCCTAACTCTCTTGGTCCTGCGCCATCCAGGAGAAAAATACCTCACTCCTCAACATTGTATTCGCAAGCATATTGTACAATGAAAGTTTCCCGATGACAAGATCTCGACTTTGCAACAGTACACAAACCGAAGCCAAGCTAACAGTTAAAAGCAGGAGGGAATTCATCTGTTTATCTTCACGTGACAGCAATTTGAGGTTTGATTTTTCTCATTATGCTAAACTCGAGGAGGTGGTTTTTGAGGGCTGCCTGGACAGCAGCCCTGCTCCAGCCTAGTGGGTGAACCTCAACCACTATATACGTATCTGCTGATCGAAAGATGCCTGCTGAGTTTTCACTGCGGTCTTAGAGCAATAACAATTGCTCAAAAAACCTTTCATCACAATAGTGTGGGGAGGTTGGCAAAAAAGAAAAAAAAAAAAAGAAAAAAGCTCATTTATACGGTGTAAATCCTCATTGTGGAAAAAAAACCCCGCTAATTCTGGAAGAAAAAAAAACATACTAATTTACATAATAACAGTAGTACAGGCAACTTAACTTCAATGTACAAAAAACACCTATAATCACAAATAACACTTATTATTGTTGCCCATGCTCATGCACGCATACTGTACGTTGTGAATCAAGTCAATTTGTTGGAGGAACTCAAACGCGTTACGTTCTCTTTAATCTGTCGATTAGTGCGGATCTTTAACGTCAGTGGCCAAAACATGCCTAATCTAAATTCAATTGCAATAATAAACTAACCACCAGATTGTGCTAGAACTGCACAAATAGTAAACAATCTGACCCTCTGAACAGCTGCTGCTTTTAATATAGTGACATGGTGTCAATTTTAATCTTGCGATATCGCAATATTGCCGTTATCCTTACATCCCTCCTTGAAAGCCAAGAACCTGATATCTGGCTGACTTCCCCACCCATCTCTGTGGGCCTACCTACAAATGTAACAACCATCTACTAATCTGTGCCTCTCTGCCCGAACAACTACCTCAAATACACACCCTACCAAACCTATCTCCTTCTACCACTCTGCCTACCACCCACCTGCTGAGTACAAGTTGCTGATTGGAATCTGTGTTTATATTAAAGCTCTGCAGCTGATTTACCAATCTGTTGTAGGGAACATTAAACATTGTTATTGATTGCCTCACACAGCACAGAAATAGCCTCAAGTGGTGCCAGTGGTGTCAGGAGAAGGAGAGACCCTTAAATCAGGAGGGCTCCACCTTAAACCGTGTGCGGTGGATCCCTCCTGATTCAAGGAACATTAAACGTACTGTATTCCTTTGGTCTTATTTTTTGACTTTGAAGTTTTATTTTAATTCCCAATCTTTCTCATTGCTCTGATGTTTAACATCCAAATATATTGAGTTGCATTTTTCGGTCAAGTCAATAAGTCCTGCCAAGAGATGATAAGCAGAACCGACTTCCAACAAGCATACATATGGAACCAAAAAGAGGTCACTTCTGGTTTATTTGGAAAGCTGGTTTCAGAACATTTCTGTTTAGATAGAAAGCATTACCAATGCACTGAGAACAGCGGCATTAACAATCAAGTCTGCATGTCTGTGCTTCTCACTGACAAGGTCAGTGTGTCCATCCATCCATCCATCCGTTTTCGAATCCGCTTATCCTCACAAGGGTCGCGGGCGTGCTGGAGCCTATCACAGCTGTCTTCAGGCACTGGGCGAGGTACACACTGAACTGGTTGCCAGCCAATAGCGTCAGTGTGTGTGTGTGTGCATGTTAAGATGGACCAAGCCATATATATTATATATTATGTGATACGGTCTTGTCAAATATGTCATGTCTCGTGTTCCCACTACCCCCTGGATGAAAAAGTAAGGAACTGAATGCAATGTTTGTACATTTGGGGACTGAAAATGGATTCCCTATTCTCAGGAAAACGGGTTAACATCTTAACGACAACAAGGCATTTCTTTTGACCACATATGTTATTACTATAGGTTTTGATGATTACCATTGAGAATTGAAAAGGATTTTTGTTCACTGTTATTGGTGTGTGTGGCCTGGATTCTATTATTGACATGATGGGCAGCTTTCACATGAAAAAAATGAAAGAACATACATTGTGGCCTACTGCTGCTTTGTATGAGCTGTTTGAAATGCATTTAATAAAAGACAATTGTTGAAATCTTGTTTTGTTTTTTTATGGTAGTGAGTCATGGGATATTTTTGCCCCCGCTGCCTGTTGTTCTCTATTTTTATTTTTACTTGCCTTTTGAGATGACATGTCTGTTCTTGGTGTTGGATTTTATCAAATATATTTCCACCAATATGCGACTTATACTCCAGTGCGACTTAAATGTGTTCTTTTCTTCTTTATTATGCATTTCATGGCTGGTGTGACTTATAGTCAGGAGCGATTTATAGTCTGGAAAATACGGAATGTGTTTGAGGTGTTGTGATGGTCATCGCGAGTACACAACACTTTAACAACAGTAAGCACCTGTTCCGATAGTTTTCTTTGACATGTGTAGGATTACTTATATTTTATTAATCGAAGCACATGATAAAAATTGGTACTTGTGTAAGCCACTTAAACAGACATTAAAAATAAATGGAAAATGCAGTCCAGCAAATCATGATAAATTGTTCTCAATTGAGATATTTTAGTGAAGCTCAGCTAACTCCCTTTATAGAAACGGACCCATCGTTTGTGTGCAGAAAATAGGTCACGGTTTTGTTTGGAACCTCTTCATTTGGTTGACAGCAATAATCCTCACAAATGTAAGAAAAAAATGAACACAACATTGACCAACTTCCACAACCGTGCTCCAGTTTCATGCACTTGTATATTGGAATGCATGGGCAAATTGAAGAGCTATCAGGTGGGATATAACCATGCATTTTCCATTTAAACGAGTGAGAAGTTTATGCATTTTATACAACTTGCCTTGTGCAGTGGTACTTGGACTTAAGAGTGCCTCAACGTACACATTTTTCGAGTCATGAGCCATTGGTTAGCTGATTTTTAAATTTTGTGTTGCCAACAAAAATGTTGGCCGCTAGAATAAAGTGAACAAAAAAGGAACAATCAAGGCACTGTTATGCCGTCGTATGTCGGCAAGGTAAGCCACAGTTTCTGATGCTCTTCCAGGTTTTTATACAATGAGCCAGTCAAAAAACACAAATACAAAATGAGAACACTTGCAGCGAGCTGCTGTAGGCCACAACTCACGCTCACGGACACTCACACGCAGACAGTCCCGAGGTCACGCCCATTAAAGGTACAAAATTAACACATTCTCCAGTACAGCAATAACAATTCATGAAACCAGTTATTTCTTTATGTTCTCGTTTATGTTTGATTGGGTTTTATATGATACCAGGGGCGTCACTAGGTTTCAAGAACAAGGGGGGGCTTAGCCCCAAGGGGAACACAGCCCCTTTAGGGGGGTCTGGGGGCATGCCCCCCCGGGAGAATTTTTTTCTACATTCTGTTAAAAATCCATCAATTCCGTGCACTTTGAGAGCAAAATGAAGAGGCTATGAAGAACTACACACATCACATTAGTATCCTCTTTACTATGATGGGGCTTCCTCCCCTGGACTTTAACTGGACTAGATAATAGAAATTATAAAGAGTTCAAAAGTTCAATCTTGGTTGTTCAAGGGAATTAGAAGGATGCCCGATAACATAACCTATATGACAGTAGGCCTATATTCCTCTCTACCAAAATGTATTAATATATGCTTAGCCCCCAGAAGACTATGTATTTTGAGATGTCTGCCGTGATATGCAATTTAAG